AAAATTAAAATAATGAAGATGATAATATCTATGATTAACACCCTCCACAATAAAAATGATTAATCAACCTCTCATAATTTCAAAAAAATGAACAAAATAAAAAATTATGATTGGTTGAATGCGGTTTGCACGGTTTGTACAAATTGAGTGGTTTGCATTTGATCGCTCCCCTATATATATATATATATATATATATATTTATTTATTTATTTATCTCGTTGCAATTTTTGATTACGTGAAAAAAACACCAATAAAAAAATTAACTGATGTCACATAAGTCGAAAATTCATTTATCAGGTCAATGGATGTGAAATATGAAAAATAAAACGTTTGGTATACTAATTAAGTAAAAAATTGATTCTTACATTGTAAAATATTATATGTTTCAAAAAACTAAGACAATTTTTTTTATTAACCTGGATATCCAACCCGTTATACGAGCCGACTAATTCCATGACGACCATTTGCTTTGTAGATAGTTTGGAGTTACCGCATTTGAACCTCCGTGGCTACAAGGGAATTTTTATTCATCATTGGATTTGAACCTGGAACCTCCTGGTACTTTTGACCTTTGAAGTGAAGCTCAAACCAATCAGACACCACCCTTGTGGTTATTTTTTTTTTTTTTTGGTACATTTCGCCCTATAACAAATTTTTTAAAATGCAACATAGTTTGGTGCCATTCTAATTTAATGTAACAAATATTCTTTTCCAATTCGATGTGACAAAATGCTAAATTACATTTATTTTGTATCTATTTTCACCGAACCTGTCAATTTTGTAACGCTTGATGACACAGATATATATTTATAAAGCTTTACAAAATATTTACGAATCGTGGAAGGATACCATAAACTTTATATCTGTGACATCAAATGTTACTAAATTAACACGTTAACTATCAAAATAGATACTAAAATTTTAAAACATTATTATATTGATAGAGAAAAATATTTTTTGGTTAAACCAAATACAAATCAAGAAAAACTGTCGAATTTCCATATGCTTTGAATAAAAAAAAAACTATTTTTTGCAATATTTTAAGTTATGGGCCGTTTACCAAACACTTACCCGGTAAGTGCTTACCAACAAAATTTAACACTATCATTAACTTACTGAGTAAGATTTTAGTCTATCAAAACGGTATCGTATGCAACAATTTACCCAGTAAGTGCTTACCGTGGTAAAAGTCGTCGCACTCACTTACCGAATAAGACTCTTGATCCTTGTCTCACTCTTACTGTGTAAGATTTTTGGTCCTCATCATATTCATCCGGTAAAATAATATGACTTGATGTGTTCACTTACCCGAATAACCTTTTGGTAAACGGCCCTTATTCTTTCTCTTTTAAAAATTAATGTTTACTTTCTTATATAATTAAAAAATATTAAATTTTTTTTTTTGAACCGTAAAAAAATATTAAATATTTATTAAATATGTAAAGTGTTTTCTTATAAAATATGAATTAAAATCAACAATAATTGTTACCGATGGTTACAAAGTAAATACAAAATTGAATACCATAAAAAATACTGAATTTCTTGAAATAATTTAAATAAAAGAAAATATATTGTACTATAATTAGTTGTAAAAAAGCAATAGACTTCATTATTGTGGTCCAAGTTTTTTGTTAAATTTTCGTAAAAGGTGACTGAAGTATAAGCCAATCTGGACTCCGCACGTTCAATCATATATATGTTTTATCTTGGTCCACGGTATTTAAGACATACTTTATGAGTATTATCTTGAAGTAAAGACGTCAATTGGTGTTTTCCCGTTATTTTCATGTTATCATATTTTGTTACGACTCACGTCAATTAACTTTTTGGTGATAAAAAGTTTTCCCAGCTTAAGTAAATATGATGATAGATTTGCTTTGAGAAGTTATTGACAAAGAAATTTAAAAACAGCAAACAAAACTAGCTGAGTGTATTTCATCTGAAAGTGGATCTAAAGGTCAGATGTATGTAAACTTGTCATCTATAACAAAAAGTAGAATGATTTTTTTTGTTTAACCTGGATATCCAACCCGTTATGCGAGTCGACTAATCCCAGGGCGACCACCTGCTTTGCAGATAGCCCGGAGTCATTGCATTTGAACCTTCGTGGCTACAAAGAGATTTTTATTCCTCCTTGGATTTGAACCTGGGACCTCCTGATACTTTTGACATTTGAAGCCAAGCTCAAACCAATCAGGCACCACCCTTGTGGTTAAGTAGAATGACTGTTATGGTAAAAATCCTAACTTGTGTAGTAAGCACATAAAAAAGATATCGCAATTACTTTTTAATAAGTGATTATGTTAGTTATTTGTTAAAAGAAATAACGAAAAGATAATGTGGTGTCCAGGCATCTTTCTTTCTACATTAATATTGATAATGATGTTGATAAGGATTTTCTAACTAAAAAATGTAATCACGTTATTTAACTTTTCTTTTTTGAAAACACAGTTCTTATTTATAGACCATATATTTTTGCTTTCACTGATGCAACAATTATAATTACAACATTTTGTTTCATGTACGATGAAATTAATTAACGTTAATGAATAATGATCAATTTACTAAGGAAAAAAACCGAATATGAAAATAATTTGATTTAGAAAATACTCATTTTGATTGAAATTGAAAAGTTATAAAAATTATAAGAATATAAATGTCATTAGTTGTATCTGGCGTGTAACTCAGTTGTCCTTGCTCATATGTAAGATTGATCTCGGGTTCAATCCTGACGGCCCCTCGGTCCACATGCTAGCCTTAATCACCAAGTGAATAAAAAATGTTTCCTGACATTGATGCTCTTGGCAACGGTTTCCGTGTGGGATCAGTTGGGGTTGTCTAATCAACTTTTGTCCAAATATACCATTATTTCTTTAAAAAAGAAAAAGTAAATAAATATGTCATTAGTAAAACCCTTTTATCATATATATATATATATATATATATATATATATATATATATATACATATGTCTAATCAAATGAAAACTAATTAGTTTGTGTTAACCGTGAGGTCCAATCTCAACCATAAATCAATAGATAAATTAGGAAATTTATAATTTTGGTAATTTTGAATTAAAATTTTAATGCAAAGACCTTTTAGATATTTTCTCTCATCTCTCCTATCTTCTCTCTCCGTCCCCCATCCTCCATCCTCCGGCCACCGTTCTTTGGTGATACCACAATGATATCACAATACATCTTATATGTGATTGAGTATTACATTGAGGTCGTTTGTATGGTCGATCGGGGATGTAACACAGTGGTATCACAATGCATTTTATATGTGTTTGGGTATCACACTGTGTCTTTTGTTTAACAAAGTCAATATTTTTAGGTATCGCAGTGGTATCATCGGAGGACGGTGGCCGGAGGCCGAAGAGAGAAAAGAGGAGAGAGAAGAGAAAATACCTAAAATGTCTTTGCATTAAAATTTTAATTCAAAATTATAAATTTTCTAACTGACTAGTTCTCCTGAGAAAGAGAGAGAGAGAGAGAGAAGAGAGAGAGAGAGAGAGAAAGAGAGAGGACGTTTCAAATGCAACACATCACATTTGTACAACCAATGCAACTCAATCAATTGAGATATTTATGAAAATGATGAGAGTTCATTTATTATGACTTGAATATTTATGAAATATGAGTAGGATTCATTAATAATGATCAATACTTTATATTAGAAAACAATCAAAACTTTTATGAAATCACATATTCATTAAATTATATGGACGTTTGAGATTGAGTTGTATTGGTTGTACAAATTTAAAAGGTTGCATAATAGCTCACCTCTCTCTCTCTCTCTCTCTCTATATATATATATATATACACACACACACACACATATATATATATATATATATATAGGCACGTTCAAACGAGAACGTTAACTATTTAAGAGTACAAGAAAAATGTCATTAATATACAAAACGATATATGATTCATGTACAAAATCATACATGATTTGCCAAGAGTAAGCCCGCTTCCATCTTGTTCACGCTAATGTAAAATCACATATGATTTTGTACATAAACGACAACTTTTCTATTTTCTTAAATAGTTCGTATTTTCGTTTAAACATTTCTCTCTATAAATATATAATTAAATTTAAAAAAAAACAAAATAACCGAAACCTTTATTTGATCTTTATCTCTTAATAAATTGGGTAGTTGTGGTCCTTTTTATGTTAAACAACAAAAATAAATGAAGCCTCAAAGCTAATTTGCGCATTGGCCCTTCAATCATTAAAATATGTTTTTAAGTTGGACCATTTTCTATCTTACGCGTGTCCTTTCTTATTCAAATCTGCTTTGCTTTTCTACAAGTTTAAAGACGATTTTAACGTTTGCATATAATTTTGATCATCTAAATGTTAAAATAATCATACATAAGAAGTGGTTTATTAAACGTTTATAAAACAAACATTTACTGGCAAGATTATCATGCTTACTTGTTTGACTGGATAACATTTTCGGTTATCAAAATAAACGTCTCTTACCCGATAAACTTTAAACGGTTAAGTTTTTCCCCCTCATTTAGTCATTTACTAGATAATATTATTGCTCTTTGCAATACATCTCATTGAGTAAGATTTTTGGTCCTTATCATGCACACCCAATAATATAAGTGACATTCTGTAACATCTCAGGCTAACGTACAAAATGTTGTGCACTTTGTCCACACATTTGAACTCAAGAAATATCATTAAATTCTGTTAAATATATATTAAAAGACTGGGTCATTTTTTTTTTATAAAATTATAATTACCGTTGAAACCAATATTAATTGAATACATTAAACGATGAATGCTTTGTTGTTGTATGAATCATCAAAGCAAAGGTGTAGCACTTGGTTTTCTTGTGTTTTTATACAAAAAGTACGCTATAGTGCCTGTGGCGGCACACACTGGATCATACAAAGCGTATACAGACTTGTACATTATAACCATATTTACCACATGTTGACCCACCCACCCACCCACTCACCCTACTCTCTAGTCTACTACACTCACACTGATTTGCTACAATCGGCTCCACCGAACCCCACTCTTCGATTCACGATATCAAATTCTACCCATTGATTTTGCTGATGGAAATTCCCTATAATGTTACTTGGTACCCCTAATCTTTCTGACCGTCCGATCCCCAAGCAGCTAATCCCACGGCCCACGTCATCCAACATCCTCTCTTTTTGAATCACTACTTGCACCCCCATCTTAAATTCCAACACCATGTCCCCTATCAACCGTCCGATCTCCATCGAATTTCCATTGAAGCACAACTCCAAAGCCTCACGATATACGTACCCTTTTTTCAATCTCCTTCCCGCAGTTCTCAATATCTCGTCCTCTATCTTTTTATACGCTGCTTCCACTAAATAAGTATATTCAGTGCCCGAGTCAATCATTGTTTGACCGGACCCACCCGCGTCCGGTCGAAACACTGATCTCGATATGTTTAATCTTTTACCGCCGATTCTGATCCCATCCAAACCAACGGTATACGCAAAAGGATCGAAATTGGGTGAGTGTTGACTCTTAGGGGAAGTCAAAATGTCAACATATTTAAATGAATTGGAATATGGGTTTTGACCGAGGTAAAATGCACCCGTTGGTTTGATTTTCGCGTTATTTTGTCGCACGGGTGTACAATAAGAAAACTTGGATATTTTAGCTTGGGAGACAAAGGACAACCGTCCGAGATTCATTCCCAAAATGCCCTCGGCTTCGTCGGACGCGGTAGCGCATCCGAGAGCGAGAGGAGGGGTACTTTGGGAACGAGAAAACGCGATTTTTTCTCTGACTAAATTGCCCTCGGCCAAAGTCCCATCGGCGTAGAAATAAGAGTAGTGGCAAAGGCGATTTTGGTCACAAGTGGTGGGGAGGGTAAAATCAGGAACTCGAGGTTTGCAAATAGGATGGTTACAAGGGAGGATAGAGAAAGAAGAAGAGAGAGAAGGATCAAACGACGTCGTTGGAGTTTTGTTGTGGCACTGGATCCATGATAACTGACTGCCGGTGTCCAAAACCATCTGTTGCGTCTGTGGTGGAGTTCCGATTGGTAGAGAAACGATCAGAGCCATTGAATACTTGAAGGATAACCTGTGATTGGATGATGATGATGATGATTGAATTAGCTTAGATGCAGCAGATTGATGGGATAGAGGAAGGTAAGAGAGAGAGAAGGAGAGAGAGTTGTTTAATGGCGGATTGATGGTGTTTTGTATAGAGAAAGAAATAGAGTTGCAGAAGAGGACGAAGAGGATGAAATTAGAGATGGTAGCCATGGGTAATCAGAAAGGAATTGCAGGGAGTGAGGTATATGAGGTTTAAATGGTTTGGAAGGAAGGGAAGGGAAGGGTTTATATATGAAACAGAAAAGGAGACAGGAGTAGGAAAAGAACAATACAAAGCCGAAAGAAGGAAGGAAGCAAAACGCGTTTTTAAAAAAATTGTTTTGGGGAGAGATAGTTGGGTGGTTGGGCTTTGCTTGAATTTCAGTCATGCTATGCTTTTATTCTTTTATTCTACTTCAATTTTTAAATTATATATATATATATATATAAACATATACATACATACATATAAGCGAGAGATTGTGTGAAAATGAGTGTTAAGATGAGAAATATAAGAAGAAATTTAGACCATTGATCACCCTTAATCTCAAACCCATCCATAAGTCGTGCTTGATACGAAGATTGATTCGGTGCATCTCATCCTAATGTGCATGAAAGGGTGAAGATTTTTTTTTACGCTTCTCATCTTAACTCTCATTCTCACTGGAACTCAACCCTATACATACATACATACATACATACATACATACATACATACATACACACACATATGAGCAAAGATTTGTGTGAGAAGAAGAGTAAAAGAGAAACGTAAGAATAAATTTGGACTCTTGATCACCTTAAATCTCAAACACACCCATAAATTGTGCTTGATACGGAGACTGATCTGGTGCATCTCGATGCATCTCATCCTAATGCATATCCAAGAGTGGAAATTCATTCTTAAGCTTTTCATCTTAACTCTTCTTCTCTGGAACTCAACCTTATACATATGATGGAGGTTCAAATGAAAATGGTAACTTAATAAAAGAATATGAAAACGGTCATATCATGTGGAAAATCGAAAGTGATTTTACACTAACAGTCTATGTAGAGGTGTGAGGCGACATCCCCTGTGACCTCAGGTCGCGGCCAAAGTCGCGTATTTTAGCTCAAAATCACACATGATTTTACCATTTTCTTATTCTTTTATTTGATTATTGTTCTCGAATGAACCTGAATCACACATACGTACATACGTACGTACATACATACATACGCACATACGTACGTACGTACATACATACATAGAGAGAGAGAAGGAGGTCCAAGGGAAAACCTCAGAAAAACCAAAAAACATTTCATTAACCGTTAGATTAATTGATCCAATGGATATGATTGAAGAGGCGGTTACAACTTTATTTTAAAATTAAAAAATCTACCACCCCCTATTTTTTAAATCGAAAAAATATGAAACATGATCAAAATTAGAACAAAACAAATTATATAAAAAAACAATCATATTGGAAGTGATTAACAATCAATATAAAGTTGTGAGGCGACGTCCCTGCGACCTCAGGTCATGACCAAAGTTGCGTATTTTAACGTAAAATTACACATGATCGTACCATTTTCTTATTATCTTATTGTTCTTGTGTGAACACGACACACACACACACACACACACAAGAGAGAGAGAGAGAGAGAGGGAATGGTTCAAACAAGAACCCATCTGATTTATGAAAATATGAGAACAACCTACTAACCAAGTAATGTGATAACAATCAAAATTAAGGGGTTTTTCAAATTTAAAATAATATTAAAAACAATTCAAAAATTTTTGGGAGGCGAAAGGGTAATCTCGGAATTCAAAGTGATAATACTTAAAAAACACGATCAGAAAAGACTTTGATCATCTAGGAACCAATAACATCATAGGTTACGGTGATTATCTTGGTAATAAAGGAAGAAGGTGTCATAAGTTTTAAGAAGATTGAAGGAAGAGATCGAACAACAAGAAGGTGTCATAAGTTTTAAATCCCCACAACATATGACATTTGCCTCAAGATTTAGGTATTCCAATGTACAAGGCTCGACATGGGTAGAACGGTCAAGCGCTCTTTCATCGTCCTTCCCGACATCGGTACCACTATCAAGCACATATCTAACTAAATCAAGTATCCATGTAGCATGTGTAGAAACATGAAACATATTTATGATATAAAGGCTCTCTTTAAGCATAGAAACTCAAAAGTGGTTTTTCAAATCTCACTTGTTGAACAATTTGGTTGCCTACTTTCTTTTCTTTTAGTTAAAATGTTTAAAAAGCCACATAATAATTTTCCTGTTATACGTATATGTCAAGAAAATATTTATTAATAATATTATTATAATCATATTAATTATTGTATATAGTTTTTATTGGCTACTTAACATATAAATATTAAATAATGACCAACATATTCTCTATCAAATAGTTGTTACTCGTGCTCCAATCTAAGATTAAGAAATTCATTTGAATGGTGAAATTACACAAATACATGAGTAAACATATTATATATATATATATATATATATGAATAGGATAAAAATGAAATAAAATAATTTTTAAAATCGTGATCAAACTAATAAACAATGGTAGTGATGATAATGATGAAGTACGCAATCTGGTTTAAAAAATACATCCAAAATAAAACACTTTATAAGTGAATAGAGTAACAAAGTCACTGTTTGTTATAATGAAGATTGTAGTTATGTTTTGCTTTTTCTAAAAATCTTCATCATTATTTGTCTTGCATACTGATGTTGTAGAAAATTTCGATCTACTCAGGGTTTGAATCTAGACATTGTCAAAACTTTTGTAGTCATGAAGGTTTACCTGCGATAACTTTAGATCATTTATGGTCACTTAGGAGATTAGTCAGTGTGTATAAATCTACAGTTACCCAATAATATATATATATATATATAATTTAATTTTTTTTAGAAAATATAAATGAAGATTCTTTTACAAGATTTAAATTAGTTTGAGAATATATGGTATGTGTAGGCATGGCAGGTAGAGAGTGAGCAACCCACAAAGTAACCACAGCTGTTAACTTCATCTCTTTTCTTCTAATTCAAGACATTTCAAGAATCCATAAAGAAAAAGTTTTCATTTTGCTTTTTATGCATCGATTTCTTTTTCTATAATCTATACTATCTTATAATGCATTTGGCTCAAACTCTTAAACTCTTAAACTCTTAATCTCTTAAAAACAACTTTTGTTGCTTTAAGTACAACCTACCAAAGCTCACGCCCTTCCTAAACCCAATCCCGCCTATCGCAAAGCTCACGCCCTTCCTAAACCCAATCCCGCCTATCGCAAAGCTCACGCCCTTCCTAAACCCAATCCCGCCTATCGCGCAACCCTGAAATCGCCCCAATTTTTCGCCACGCCCTTCTAAACCCAATCCCGCGTATCCCAATCGATGAAATCGGCTAAGGATTTGATCTAATCGCAACCCTAATCCCAATCGATGAAATCGTTTGATTCCCTATCCCATTTTTATCGCAACCCTAATCCAATTCATCTACTTCTATACAAAGGTATCTGTAGAACATCTACACAAAGGTATCGCAACCCTGAAATCGCCCCATTTGTTTCGCACACCATTGCCGCTCCTCCTCATAGCCAAGGTTACACGTTATACTTGTTTTTGTTTATAACTTGTTTTTGTTTATATATGTTCAATTTATCAATGATTTGTTGTAAAAATTGTAATTGTAACCCTGTTCTAGATCAATTTTTTTGCTCAAGGAAAGCTCGCATCTGTTGTCAGATATTTTGCTGGGTAAAGGTTTTAGGCTGGTATTGAAGTTGCTTTATACGGATTTTGAGGTACGAAGTTTCGTATTTGATCTTTTTTATATGGGTTGGTACATTGATGTAGCATTTACCATCTTTTTATCCGGTTGAAGATTTTAGGGTTTTGAGGGTCGTCATGAATCTTTTTAGATGAATGTCATTCATGTTTTGTCTTTGAATGAATTTTGTTCAAAAATTTGCTGGTTTGCTACTATTGGTGGCTGATTGTGAGGTATGACTTCTTTGTATTTTTGTTCTTGTTATGCACATTGTACAAATCTTTAATGCATCTTGCAAGAGTTATTATAGGCTGTGTGCTTATCACCTGGAAGAAGGATCACTGATTCTTCTTTGGCTAGCTTGAAACAGAACTCAATGTCATCACTAATATCTTTTAGTAAGGACTTAAGAACAGATAGTCCAACTTCTATTCTATTAGCTAAGATCAATTTTGAGACATGTCAAAATGGGGTTTCTTGGTTGAACAGGTTAGTGCTTAACTGCTTGGAGAGTACAACCACCTTTTGGCCAAATGCAATTGTATCTGTCTTAACTGTATTTGTTGCCGTATTTGCTATTTTATAGTTGTTGTTGCTGTTTGATCACATGTTTAGCATAAACCTCGAGTAGGTTGTTGCTGTTTGATAGAATTTATTTTAGGTTTGCTGTTTGCTGTTTATATAAACCCAAACACCTTACTGTATAGCTACTGTTTTGTGTTTAAAACACTTGGTATTTGTTATTTTATAGCTGTTGTTGCTGTTTGATCACATGTTTAGCATAAACCTCGAGTAGTTTGCTGTTTGCTGTTTATATAAACCCAAACACCTTGCTGTATAGCTACTGTTTTGTGTTTAAAACACTTGGTTAAATAGTTGGTTCCATTTGGGTTTATTCAACAATTATTAAACCCATTATGTTAACTGTATTTAATCCTTGGTTTTGGACAGAGCAGGGATAAGTCCAATACTGAATAGCCCTGCTGTGTGTGTGTGTATAGATAAGTATAGATATGTATGAGGATTTACATTAGCCCTGTATAACTATATAACTGTTGGTCTTTGCTCCTRTATAACTATTGCTGTGTGCACAGTGTGTGTGTGCCAAAGCAGCAACCTAACAGTTATGTGTTGTAAATAAGGGGCTGGTTACTAAAATATTTCTTTGGTTAGAATAGGCTGTAATACAAGTTAGCCTCAAAGTATAATGAATAATGAATTTGGTCTGGAATGCTTTCTRATTATCACTGCAGCAAGTGGCTGGAATGCTTTAATATATAAATTTCCATTTAACAGGAAAGGTGTGAGCTTAACGGAATCTCTCTATAATTTAGTTATAGTCGTATAGTCGTACAGAGGTCCAGGACTACCCTATCCTAAAAAAGTGTAGGAAAAAAAAACCTGTATCCCAGCAATAATGTACCCCTGTATACAGAGGTTATGCTGCTCCTGTATAACTATATGCTGCTTCTTCCGATGGAAAGAAATCTAGCATAACCCTATACATTCAACTAATCACTGTTAAAAACATAGCTAAGCTCTCACCTACATGCTACCATTCACATGCTCCTGTATAACTATATAACTATTGGTCTTCGCTGCTGTGTAACTATTGCTGTGTGCACAGTGTGTGTGTGCCAAAGCAGCAACCTAACAGTTATGTGTTGTAAATAAGGGGCTGGTTACTAAAATATTTCTTTTAACCAAGCATTTGAAGTTCTTAGGTTTCTTACTTTGGTTAGAATAGGCTGTAATACAAGTTAGTCTCAAAGTATAATGAAAAATGATTAATTTTGTTCACATATAGGCACACCATCACATCCTTGCGACCGGTTGGCCATTTCAGTATGCATACATGCTGGACTTTCTGTCTGGCTTCCAAATTTCCACCTTGGACTTGAATTTTAAAGTGCTTGTAATAACAATCTTGAACAGGCCAAGGGCTGAATATCCAGACAGCCTTTTGGACAGAGCAGGGCTAAATCCAAGATTGAATAGGGCTACGTCCTTGGTTTATTAAACCCATTATGTTAACTGTATTTAGTCCTTGGTTTTGGACAGAGCAGGGATAAGTCCAAGACTGAATAGCCCTGCTCTGTGTGTGTGTGTGTGTGTATAGATATAGATAGATATGTATGAGGATTTACATTAGCCCTGTATAACTATATAACTGTTGGTCTTTGCTCCT